CGGGCGCTTCGACTTCTCCACCTGCTCCTTCTCCCGCTGCTCCTTCGACGGCGTTTTCCAGCCGGAGGTGTCAGGAAACTTCATCGTAAGTCTTCACCCGGCTGGCTGCTGGGTGGGCAGGTGCCCCCAGCACCACAAGGTGCCAAAGCCAGACCCCCAGCTCTGCGAGCGGCCGCTTGTGGTGGGAGGGTTTGCTCCCAGCCTGTCCCACCACTGCCTCCTTCCCTCCACCAGGCCTTCTCTGCCTTCTTCTACACGGTGGACTTCATCCAGACAGTGATGGGGAGATCTGTGCGCTTGCCCAGCGACCTGAAGGATGCTGCTGAGACCATCTGTGCTGCCAGCTGGAGCGAGGTGGGCTCCCTGGGCGTGGGGGGGAGGAGAGGGCTGCGTTGTGTGGGGCACCTCCTGGACTCTAAGAGCAGCCTCTGGAGAGGGCTGGGTGTCCTGGCACCCGTGGAGTAGAGGGAAGGTGGGTGATGACTCCCACATGGGGCCAGGAGAGGCTCAGGTGGGTGTGGGCAGTAGGAGCCACATGCAATCACTCAGAGCTTCAGGCCACAGAAGCAAAGCCTAGACCCTGCTGGCTTAGCCCCTTCCTCTCTCCCTCCACACCCCCCATCTAGCTGCTCCAGAGAGCCCCCAAGCTGGAGAAGAGGCTGCCGGATTACTGCGCTGTCAGCACGTTTGTTTATTTGCTCACCACCAAAGGCTACAACTTCAACAACCATTCCTTCCCCAACATCGCCTTCCAGAAGAAGGTGGGTAACATCACAGCACGTACCCATCCCACGGGGTCTGGAGCTAGGCCAGGAAACCCTGCAGCAGAGACGATCCCACACCAAGGAAGACCCAAGCAATGTGAGGGAAGCTCTCAGCAAACAGGGGCAGGATGAGACTCACGGGTTTCGCGTGGGTCTTCTGGGAGATGGAAGAAAATCAACTGAGCTGAGCTGACTGCAGGGTGGTTAGGGAGTCAGGAATTTCAAGGTCCTCCAGTCCTTCCTTGGTCCTCAAGACACCAGACATCTCAAAAAACTCCCTGTTCGAGTTTGTTAGGAAGCTGCCCCAAGGCAGGATCCCACCTCTGTCAAGTCCCCTGACTGCACGAGCCACGGGATGGGCAGTGAGATTAGGACTGGCCTGAGAGATGAGATCTGCTCCCACGGGTGCTGTAGGCTGCCCCAGACTCCTCTCGTCCATCGGGCTGGCGGGGTGGGGGTTCCTGGAAGGCCTCCTGAGTGGGGCCATGGAGCTGGGTTGAGCAGGGTGGTGACCATGTCACTGTTTCCACAGGCAGGAGACACCTCCATCGGCTGGGCCCTGGGCTACATGCTGAACCTCACCAACATGATCCCGGCGGAGAAGCCCTCTTCCCACAAAAGCATGCTGTACAACCACTGGGTGATGCTCATCCTGCTCTTCGTGGTCACCACCCTGGCGTCTCTGGCCACTGCCGTCTGCCTGCTCCGGCGCAGCAAGTCCCTCACCATCTAAGGGCAGGGGTGGGACCCAGCACCGCGGAGCCTCCAGGGCCTGAACACCGGGGGGAGGCAGTGCTCAGAGGTGTCCTCCTCCAGGCCCGGTGGTGGCGGCCCCGGGAGGAACGCTGTCCCTGTGTGCCCCCCCTGCCCGCAGGCCGCGGGAGGGGCGGGGGGAGGAGGGCTGCTGGCCCTGCACAACCACTGCAGGGTTTCCTGCTGCTGCCCAGGGCTGGACCCCAGGCAGGCTTGGGATCCAGGTGTTCACACCTGGGGCTTCTTTCTGCCACCAGACCTGGGCTGAGACTGGGCCAGCGAGCCCAGATGACAGCAGGATTTGTTCTCACATGCACGGGGTGGGTGGGGAGCATTGCTTACACCAGTCCTCCTGGCTGACCCCACTCGCCTGTCGCTGGAGCATCAGCTGTGCCTCCCGGGGAGCTCTGAGGATCACCCGGAGTCCAGGCTCTGTCTGGCTGAGGCACAAACCCCCTGGCTGAGGCACAAACCCCACAGACCTTCTGGAGGGCCAGATCTTGGCCTGGACTTCCACCGGCCTCAGCACGAGGGCTTCAGAAAGGGCCTTGGCAACACACCAGCTTCCCAGGTCCCACTTCAGCAGCCAGGCACAATCCCTTCTGTGTTACCGTGGTTCCTAAGCCAAAATCACCCTTGCCGCAGCCAGAGCCACCTCCGTGCCTCCAGCAGTGGCACAAAAGCCCCCGTGGGTTGCTGCTGCGTGGCCGTGGTGGTGCAGAGCCGAGGGGCTCGCGGGGCTCTATGCTGCTTTTGGA